AGGTGAGCGCATTACCACTTGAGCCACATCCCCAGCCCCAAGGATTCAAGAAATTCTTAGAAACAAATGAGAACACAGATACAACATATTATATCAAAATCTGTGGGGCAGTATGAAAGCAGTTCTAAGAGGAAAATTATACAACATTGAATGCCTACCTTTAAATTACAATTTAAAAAGAGAGATTCCAACTAAATAAAGTAATATTCCACCTCAAGGACTCAGAAATGGAAGAACAAACTAATTATAAAATCAGTTTAAGATCAGAGCCAACATTAATGAAATTGAGAATAGTAGAAGAATACAACAAATCAATGCAACAAAAAGTTGATTCTTTGAAAAGATAAATAAAATTGATAAACTCCTAGTCAAATGAACCAAAAAAAGAGAGAGAGAGAGAAGACTCAAGTAAACAAAATCAGAAGTGAAAGTGGAGATATCACCAAGACAATTCTGAAATCCAGAGAACCATTAGAAACTACTTTGAAAATTTATATTCTAATAAATTGGAAAATCTAGAAGATATTGAAAAATTTCTAGGCACATATGACCTACTCAAATTGAACCAAGAAGATATAGAAAGTCTAAACTGACTAATATCAAGTAGTGAAATTGAAACAGTAATTAAAACCTTCCAGAAAAGGAAGACCACAGGGCTGGGGATGTGGCTCAAGCGGTAGCACGCTCACCTGGCATTCGTGTGGCCCGGGTTCGATCCTCAGTACCACATACAAACAAAGATGTTGTGTCCGCCGAAAACTAATATATATATAAAATTTTCTCTCTCTCTCTCTTAAAAAAAAAAGAAAGACCACAAACCTAATGAATTCTCAGTTGAGTTCCACCAGACCTTTAAAGAAGAACGAATAGCAGGTTTTCTCAACTATTCCACAAAATCGAGAAGGATGGACTACCTCCAAACATTCTATAAAGTGAGTATCACCCTGATACCAAAACCAGGCAAAGATGCATAAAGAAAACTATAGATCAATATCCCTGATAAACATAGATGCAACAAAGTATTAGCACACCACATTCAAAGACATTTCAAGAAGATAATATATCATGATCAAGTAGACTTTATCAGGCAAGGTTGGTTCAACATATGCAAATCAATAAACATAATTCATCACTTGAATAGAATGAAGAACAAAATCATCCAATCTTCTCAATAGATGCAGAAAAGGCTTTTGATAAAATCCAGCACAGACTCATGTTAAAAATGCTAGACAAGCTAGGGATAGAAGGAACTTACCTCAACAATATAAGGGTTGTATATGACAAACTCAAAGCCAGCATCATACTGATTGGAATAAAACTGAAAGCATTTTCTCTAAAATTAGGAATAAGACAAAGATGTACACTCTTACTACTTCTATTCAATATAGTTTTGAAACTCTAGGCAAAGGAATCAAGAAAGAGAAGCAAATTAAAGGGATACAAATGGAAAAAGAACTCAAACTATCTGCTGATGACATGATTCTACATTTAGAAGACCTAAAAAATTACATCAGAAGACTTCTAGAGCTGATAAATGAATTAAGCAAAGTAGCAGGATACAAGATCAACATTCATAGATCAATAGATTTTCTACACTGCAACAGTGATTCTGCTAAGAAAGAATTCAAGAAGGACATCTCTTTCACAATAACATTAAAAAAAAATCTGGAAATTAATCTAACCAAGGAGGTGAAAGATCTGTACAATGAAAACTGAAGAACACTGAGGAAACTGAAGAACACTGTAGAAGATGGAAACACCTCCCATGTTCTTGAATAGGGAGAATTAAAATATTGCCAAAATTCCCATATTACTATAAGTGTTATACGGATTCAATTCCAAGAAAAATATCAGTGACTATCTTCACAGAACTAGAAAAACAGTCCTTAAATTAATTTAAAGAACAAGATACCCAGAATAGCCAAAGCAATTCTAACCAAGAGGAGTGATGTAGGAGACATCACAAAATCCAATTTCAAATTATACTTCAGAACTATAACCAAATCAGTATAGTATTTGCATCAAAATAGACATGAAGTCCAATGGAATAGAATGTGGGATGCAGAGACAAACCTACATAGGCACAGTCATCTGATACTTGATAAAGGTGTCAAAAAGTATGTTGGAGAAAAAAAAAATAGCCTTTTTAACAATTGGTACTGGGAAAACTGGATATGCATATATACAAGAATGAAACTAAATCCTTATTCCTCACTCTTTACAAAATTGAAATCAAAATGCATCAAAGACTTGGGAATTAGAACAGAAACTTCAAATAGCTGGATTAATAAACAGAATATATAAAGAACTCAAAAAACTCAATGCCAAAAACCCTCAAAATTATTAAATGGCCCAAAGAACTAAATTAGACATTTCTTAAAAATAGAAACACAAATGGTCAAGAAATATATGAAAAAAAATATTTAACATCTCTAGCAATCAGGGAAATGCAAATCAGAACTGTACCACTGTTTCATCTCACTTTAGTGAAAATGGCAATTATCGAGAACATTAATACTAATAAATTCTGCCCAGGATACAGGGAAAAAGTACACCCATACATTGTTGATAGAACTGCAAATTAGTACAACCACTCTGGAAAGCAGTGTGGAGACTCCTTGAAAAACTAGGAATGGAACCACCATTTGCCCAGTTCTCCCACTCCCTAGTATTTATCCAAACAAATGAAAACCATCATATTATAGTGATATGGCCACTTCAGTGTTTATAGAAACACAAATTACAATAGTCAAATTATGTAATCAACCGAGATGTCTGTGAATAGATGAATGGATCATCAAAATGTAGTATATATACATGAGGGAGTTTTACTTAGCCATAAAGAAGAACGAAATAATGGCATTTGCTGGTAAATCGGTGAAAATGGAGAACCTTAGGCTAACTAAAATAAGCCAGACTCAGAAAAATCGAGGGCCAAATTTTTCTCTCAAATGTGAAATCCAGAGCAAAGAAGTATCTACATCTCTATCTATCTATCTATCTATCTATCTATCTATCTATCTATCTATGAGAATGGAGGCAGCTGGGGACTGGATCAAATATCATAAATATATAGGAAAGCTCAATGGAGTAGATCAGTAGGAGAATAAGAGGGAAGGAGGGAGAACAGAAAAGGGAAGGAAATATCCAATGAATTTAACAAAATCATGTTAAATTCCAAAGGGAATTTCACCATTATGTATATGTAGAAAGTACCAATCAAAAATAAATAGAGAAGTGAGAAGAGAGTCAGTAGAGCAGAGAAAGGAGAGTAGTGGGAGAGAGTGGGGGGAGCTAAAGAGGGGAAGTTGGGGATTGAAATAAAATTCTTTGCATGTGTGATTTTGTCAAAATGAACCCAACTACTAAGTATACCTACAATGCTGTAATAAAAAATACATCTAGTTTAAATGAATTATATTTAAATTTTTTAAAAAATTTATATATGACAACAGAATGCATTACAATTTGTATTACATATATAGAGCACAATTTTTGATATCTCTGGTTGTATACAAATAATATTCACACCAATTGGTGTCTTCATAAATATATTTTGGATAGTAATGATCATCACATAAATGAAATATATTTTTAACTGACACATGAAAATGGTTTAACAGCATGTTTCATTAAACTTTAAATATATGAGTGCATGGAATTTTCCCAATATGTACATCAAAAATAAATGTCACCGTATATTATATTACAGACATATAAATATTTAAATCTCAATTTATTATTCAACAGGATCATACTTGCAAGTCTAATGAGAACATGATCCTTTCATATGTCAAAAGAAGTAATATTTTTAATTTTTTTGTTTATTCTTTTTTAAAAGGAGTCTGTTTGAGGAGCAGAAGTATAGAAGCACTCAGGTCTATTTTTTTCCTCAAAACTTTCCTCTCTGTTCATGTCCACTCTTCTTGTCCAAGCATATTGTGCTACTCATTACAACATCACAACTACTAATGGCTTAAAAAAAGATGTGCTATAACAATATGTGCAGATTTCTCAGAATAATCCTCAAAGTGTTTCATCATGGCATAAAGCCGTAGTGATGCCTCATAGATATTGCTCAACTACATGAAAATGCCACTTCAGCTCACAATCAGGGCTTTTCTTCAACTGTCATTTATTTCATTTCTTATTTCTTCCATTTATTTTTTCTACTCCAAATAAGTTTATCTCTTTAACATTTTAAGATCTAGCTTTTGAATTAATTCTACCTCCATGTTTTCCTGTGTTCCATTAGCTCATGAGAAATGTCTGCCTTTTTAAGATTTAGCTGTGTTCCTGATCTCTTTCTAAACCCAGGAGACCAGAGAAGGCTTTTCAGTTTAATTCAACACCATGCAGGGCAATTATTTAGCCACTAGGAGAACCTCTCTCTTCCTTTCTCTCTCTCTCTCTCTCTCTCTCTCTCTCTCTCTCTCTGTGTGTGTGTGTGTGTGAGTACATGTGTATTTTTGATATTAAGAACTGAACACAGGGCCTGGAGCATGCTAGGCAAGCACTCTATCACTTAGTTACACCCCTGGCCCATTTTATAATTTTGTGAGGAGCTCTTGCTATAAGTTGTCCAGGCTTGCCTTGAACTTGTGATCCTCTTGCCTAAGTTTCCAAAGTAGCTGAAATTACCGTTGTGCACCACTGTGCCTGGCTCTTAATATGTTCTTGAAACACTTTGTTGCTCTTCTAATTCAACCATGATTCCTAAATTCACATAAGTTGAAATGTCATGGTTTCCAAGCATGTACATTACTAGATATTATTAGAATATTGAGAAATTCTTTAAAAATAGTTTCTGAGGCTCCCTACCCGAGACATACTGAAATCAAATTTCAAACATTTAGGTAACATGAGCTATTTTGTATTTTAAAGCAATCTCCCTAGTAGATTTTAATGTAATAAATTTTCTGAGCTTGTACTGTGTACTATCATTTTAAACATTCTATAAATGATATTAGCGGAGGGTAACAGAATGTAGGCATACACACCTTTCTGTCCAGGCATGTAGATGGATTTATCTGTCTGCACAAAGACCACATTTTCCCTGGGGCTGATTGCCACAGCTCTTCTCTCTTCCAGATTGATTGTGCCTCCTTTAGCAGAGAATGTGATGAAAGCCACTGGGTCCAATCTGGCCTGAGGAACCTAGGGAGCAAATTAATACATACTTCATGAGACTGGTGTTTTGTCAGGAGATCTCCATGACTAATTGTGCATTATTAACCAGTGAATTTAAATCCATAACTTGATGTTTCTATTTATTGAATAACCTACCTTGTTCATTTTTTCTTGCTTCTATCGCATCATTTAGATAAATTATCTCATCATTTAAATGAATGATCATTTATCTTTTTTGTTGTTGTTGTTGTTGATGGTACTAGGGATTGAACCCAGATCCTTGCACATGCTAGGATGCTAGATAAGTACTCTACCACTGAGCTGCATCTCTAGCCTTCTTAAAATATTCCATTTCTCTCTGTGTGTATGTATGTGTGTGTGTGTGTGTGTGTGTGTGTGTGTGTTTTCTTCCCTTCAATAAATTTCTTTTAAAATAGTAAATAGTTAGACTTTTCTCCTTGTCTCCATTTATAACTGTACTTACATTATCTGAAACTGAGAAGTATATTGTTTTTGAAAACATTAAAATAACTTTATATAGACAGGCAAATAACATTTGTCCTTAAAGTCAGTTTTGTGGGTGCCTTTCATGCCCCTACAGTATTTTCTCTATAGTGAGCAAAATGAAATGTTTACCTCAAAGCTGAAGCATTTGAAGACATTTTCTCCTGTAACCTGTTCTTCAAGTATTTTGGTCTGGACCTCACCATAGTTGATGGAGACAGTCAAAACAAGAAACTCAGTCACATTAAAAAGCTGAACACAAGCTTTATCCAAAGAGCCTTCTTGGAGAACAGAAGGGACCAGCAGAACATACTGCCTACAAAATTTAAGCAGGAACATTAAAATTGTCAAAGAAATGATTTGATACTTAGTTATTATTTAGTTATCTAAAGGATTGCAGTTTAAGAAATATGTATTGTTTCTCAATGTTAGAGACATAGAGCATGCTAAATTAGAGAATGTTAAATTCATGAAATAGGAATATGCTGCCTGTAAGTTGAATTCGTGAATTCAACAAGAATAATACCACTTGCAAAAAAGCAAGTAATTTGTCATTAGTTCTATGAAAATTACCATCTGTGTCTTCATGCAATGCTTTTGCTCCTGAACTGATACACACAACCCATTTCATTTTTGCATAGTGTTTGTCTAGCTTTTTTTCCCCAGTAATTGTTTGACATCTCTTCATTGGTATAAATATTGTGTTATAATTTAATCAGCAGACATGCCAACAGTGATAATGGTACCATTCAAATTCAGAATTCATTATACAAATTAACATGTTTACTATGCTATGTAAGGATATATTTAAAATCTAATCACTGCAATACAAATATAACAAGTTCTGATTTTTAATATCAAGCTCTATTTGGGTTCCACATGAAATAACAAAATTCTATGCAATCACTTACACTTGGGGAGACTGAGAAAGAGACAGATGAAAGAGAAGAACACCCAGAAGTATTTTCATCCACTTCATGATCCAAATAGACAAAGAAGTCAATAGACTGTGATCGCTATATCCACACGTGGGTCAATGTGCTGGAAGCTCAGACATTCTCACTGCCCAGGAAAGCCAAGTGTGGAGAGCTATATATCTGTGCAATACTTCTAGGACCATTTCCTGAATCATTCCTAAAGAATAACACAACTAATCCAACTGGATACACTTTAGAAATTTTAGTCACCTCCCTGTGATCAATCATGTCTATTATGTTACTAGGGTGTCATTTGTGTGTCATCATCTTCTGACGAAAAATACTCCTAGAGTTAATACATAATGACTATGAGTGAATCTTTCTAGCACAAATGAAATTTCATTCCAATAAATTCAATCATCAAAAAGAAATTGGTATCTTGCTAAATCATTACTTTGTGGTTGAGAACTGAATCTGTGTTGAAAATAACAGTATTGATTTTTGGTTGGCAATAGTTCCATGTAGTTATTAGAATGGGAATAATTTAAAAATAATAG